CAAGTCACTTATGATCTTTATAAACTTTACATATTGCAATGATTAAATTCTATAATGCGCCTAATAATTACTATGACAAGCTAATGTAATACAGTTAGTAGTATTAAAATTAACTTTTTTGAGTTGTCACGATGTTTGACCACCGTGATCCTGACCTTACGAATTTTTCGTGCTTGTTGCAGACCTTTGTTTTTGGTTTTCAACAATTTTTTTGCCGTTGCGTCATCCGTGAGAAATCTATTTCTTCACGCTGCCGCCTTGCTTTACAGCTACCAGCTGTTGACTAGACATGTCGCTTTAATGATTGTAATAATTTGGACAAATAATGTACATACATGCCGTCACATCTGTATCGTACTGGGGTTAGCAGGGACCACAAATCTCCTTTACCTCCTCCACTCCCACCAGTCATTTCACAAAAACGTGTTTATTCTTAGCACATAATCTAACCAGACCTTGTTTAAGGACATCCCCAATCTGACCAAGATCTACATCACAGTTAAGTCTTATTAAGTCTTTCTCTCCTCACGTTTCCATCCACAATAATAATGATCAAAATAAATAAAAGCAATATTTATAGTTTTTCAGTAAACAATTATTCGATTTTCGATTCGATAGTGACATTGAACAAAATGAGATTGGGTAACTTATGACTGGATAGTAACAATTTCGTGAATTGCATTTTTGACACGCTTATATATTAAAGCGGCCAAATTTAAACGTTAGCTAATTGAAAAAGTTTATAATGTTGGAACGTTTGACTATTGTCATTCTTTTTTAAATAGAAATTGATTCATTCAATTTCACAGTTTGTACTTTTTTTTAAATAAGTTAACAAGTATCATTCTTACTTTAGACATTGCATTGCATCTTTAATAATAATTATAATTGTACATGTACATAATATTAGACCATCACACGCATACACACCTACTAATCTATGCAATTTAATATGATCATGTAGAATTATAACTTTTAATTGTTTTAAACATAAGTTTTATTTTATTTTTGATAACGGTCGTCTTCGATTAAAAACTTATATTTGTAATGTAACCGTTGGAGATCAGGTGACTGATAATAGCACAGATCTAAACTATGTAGTTTGATCTCCTATCTCTACCAACCTTTTGCCTGTGATGGCTATAGTGACCACGAAGTGTACAAGATGGGACAAAACAAACAATTTTATTATTATTTTATTACGTTTCGTGTTTGACTGTTGCAAGTAAATTAATTTTATTCCTTTTTCATTTTCCGTAATTTTATAAGTAAATAAGCGGAAGGGGAGTCTATGTCGGAATCTGGCCACTGGCTACACGCCTTCCCCTCTGCCAGTACCGGTACCTTCCTGAGCGCCGAGACCATTCGCATAGCTGCAGGCCTCCGCCTTGGTGTCCCAGTTTGCTCCCCACATCCGTGTCCTTGCGGCAAAGACATAAGTGCTCTGGGTTACCACGGTCTTTCCTGCCAGCTGAGCATGCAGCCCTCAACAACATCAACCGCCGGGCCTTAGCCACTGTTAACGAGCCCGCTATACTCGAACCATGCGGCAAGTCGCGAACAGATGGCAAACGCCCGGACGAAATGACTCTCATCCCATGCAGTATGGGCCGGGCACTGGTGTGAGACGTCACATGTGCCGACACACTTGCCCCATCCCATCCCATCTCCAGCACCCCAGCAAGAGGACTGGCTGAGCAGCTGAACTGGCGGAAAGAATAAAAAGTAATCAGTACCAGGATCTCGGGTCCGACTACCTATTTGAAGCCTTTGAAGTTGAAACCCTTGACCCGTGGGGTCCCAGTGCCCTTCATCTGTACAAAATTTTATCCAAAAAATGACTGTCTGGGAAACCCAAGGGCCGACAGCTACCTTGCCCAACGCATTAGCATAGCAATACAAAGGGGGAACGCTGCCAGCATCTTGGGCATATTACCGAGGGGACCCAATTTTATTAATATAATTTAAAAATCCTAGTTTTACTTTCTAGTATTTAAGCTTTTATTGTCATTTTTACCTTATGTGTATATTATCAAAATAAAAATACGTATTAAATAAAAAGACACTCATTTATACTTAAAACACATTGCTGATTTTCAGTATTCATTTATAGCCATTCGCTTGCTGCACCAGACCTTCAAGCAGCTATCTGTGTTGCACTACATGTAATAGTTGAAAAAATTCTAAAATTTTAACTCAAAATTTGAAATTTATTTGTTTGGTGTTGCTAGTTGTAGCGAGTCTTTTTAGCAGTTAAATTTTAGATGTTTTTAAATTTCAGTTTTGAAGCGTAAGGGTGCTGGTGAAATTAAAGTCACATGGGACTTGTCAACTTATGTCTCAGGGTGACGGGCGCAGTGGCAGTATCTCTCTGTCTTTGCGAATTATAGCTCTGAGTGGCACTACAACAGTTATCAGGCACATGACTAGTTCGTCCAGTCACTAGATATTATAAAAAAGAAAAAAAGATTGAAATTCGGTATTTAAATGTACGTGTTTTTGGCACGAGGACCATTATTTGAATTATTTTTGCACAAGCTGACATTGGCTAGGATCACCATAATTTTTATGTTATTTTTACAAGACTGATACTGCTGGCCCAAGTTTAGTGACCGCCATTAAAGAAAAAAAATATTTTATCACCAAAAGGAGAGTAACCTTGAACTACAACCCTCGCGAAAAGAAATGAATAATTGTGCAAAAATAACAACATAACAATAGAGCTCGTTTCTCTCGCAATAGCTGAACAGATTTTCTTCACTGTGTTTCTCACATTCTCACGTTGCAAAAAGACGTGTTATGTTCACATCCGACTTTCTTCCGAAGTCTATCGCACCTTTGTTTGATGACCCGGTTCCTATGATGCTGCGAGATGGGTGAAATTTTTACTCAAACTGTGCAATAAAGCGCTGTGATATGACATGTGAATTGATTGAGGCATGTGAAGTGGGCGATTATTACCACGATGTTTATTGTTCGCGTTTTAGACGCGTGGTGTGCGCAACTTATGTGGTACACTGGTCCATGACACTTTGGAATAAAGTAAAAATAAAAATATCAATTCCTATTACAATTTTGAACTGTTAAAGCGGAAACGCTCCTTCTACCAAGATTGCATATCAAATGAAAGAGTAGGATAGTATATGGAAGAATAGGTTACAGAATAATAGATCAGTACTTAAAGCCAACAAACGAAAATATCATAGATATCGAAATTCCTTACATGGTCCATTAAGCGCGGGAGAACCGCTAATCCTGTCCTATACGATTATATAGTATCAACTTTTAATGACTTATGAAATAAACTATCTATATAAGAACAGGCGTTTGCTGCATTTTCCATCAAAACAAGGAAAGATAATAATATCTACTTATATAAAGAAGTTTGTATGGTGGAAACCTACCCAAATAAATGGGTGAAAACCAACGATATCTATGCACTAAATGGTAGTCTTTGGTAAAAACTTAAGAAAAAATCTCGAAATTTATGATTTTTAAATGAAATTTTGAAATAATAAGTGGTTACTAATAGGAAACGTAAGAGTTCAGTCGAATTGTCAGTGCGCACGGGTGTCGAAATTGGTTGTGAAAAATGAATAGATTTTCTTCAAAACGTGAGACGTAAACAGCATGTTTAAGTGTTTATACATTTGTACTGTAGAGTACACTAGTTAAGACCCTTTCAAAAGTCATGAAAAATAAGGACGATTCCGCGAAACGCGTAATGGGAGCGATGAAGTTGCTAAACACCTTACATTTTTGATATTATAATATATTTTGAATTGAAAGTGTGCGTTTGTGTAATATTATTCTAAAGTTCATTTTTGTCTACAGTCAAAATATTTATATATACATTATTAAATTATACGTATTTCGTTATATCCAAACGCATACAGATTTGCAACTTTTCCCATACATCTAATATGAAATTAATATATACGTTTGCAAAGTCAGTGCTGCTAATAACAATTTCACGTAATAAGACCACGTCACAAGGCTAATTCGATATGAACAAGAAATAATTGAAGACATAATGATGTTTACGAAGCTCGATACCGTTTAATACTTTTTACTGACTATACTTAAAGTGACATCTGTTAGTGGTGTCCTATAGCTTATCATGATAGCATATATAATCATAGTGCTGCCGTGCAAATGTGTAACTTATGTCAATAGTAATAATATTGAGGTCTTCGTCAATGTCCACTAGCACAGATCAGGGGAGATCAAAGTATCTGTAGACAAATTCAAATGAAAAAAAAACTTTATTTCATAGGAAGACAAATTACACTTGATAGATATCGTCATACTGATTACACTTAAAAATTCATTGGGCAGGTTCCCTCGAGAGGAATAATTAAGAAACTCTAGACATTGCTATTTCAAAGTAAATATTTGATTTTCCTTTCTACATTATTACATTGCATATTAAAGAACTAAAACGATCACAACCATAGATATTTACTATGCAAATATCTATGTATAACAAATAACCTCTAGTCATAAAGTTTTTGTTTCACTTCAGTTTTAAACGTCTTACAGAGCAAATTTTTAAATGTCAACTGGAATCTTATAGCCCCTTAAATGAATTGGTGATTTTGTTAAGACTACAGGCAATTTATTTTTATTACTCTTGTTAACGTCATGTCTATTATAAACTACACATACTATGCATAAATTATTCATGAAAACGAAAAAGAATTTCTATGATTCTTAACATAAATCACATTTTCATAAATGTCCTGTGACGCTAGTGTAAGAATGATCGTTTCTTTAACCTTATTAATAAAATTCGACCGTTTCTTCAAGTTGTAATAAGCATAATGATCAAAGTACTTTAGTTTCAACCATGTTTCTCGCTACTTACCATAAATATACTGGGATTTGTCGTTGATCTTAAAATGTAATATTCTTCTCGTAAATATCGAATTAAAAGGCAAAAGTACGTTAACAAAAATCTCAATTTATTTTACATTAATTTACAATTTACTTAAATTGGAAAACCTCTCGAAAAATATAACATTTCTCTTAAAATACAACATTATAAAAAATTATGTTCTAGTAAACTTTGCTAATAACAAATACTTGTAGTTGCGTGAAAAGGTTTGCAATACAATAAAAATAAATATTGCATTAAAACCGCAAAAAACTTGGCATTTTTATAATACAACCAGCAAATTATGATGTAATTTGGTGTTTCAGCCCGAACAACTAATATTGCAATAAGCAAAGTGTACTAACAGAACACACGAAGGCCGACTTCGCAAAATGGAAGGATTTACATTAAAAATAACTACAAAATTACAATAATATCAATAAATACTTAACTCTAACTTAACTATCAAAAGGTACGTTTATAAAGGTCCTACCGACGCAAGTAGGAAACGCTGCGTGTGAAACACTAGCTTTCTTCTTTCTCTCAATATCTTAAATACAATGAAGTAAGTTTGGCGTATGTCCCGCATTGAGTCCGCGTGGTGGACTATGAGCTAAACCTTCTCCTTGGAGGAGACCCGCACTCAGCAGCAGGATGATGATGTCAAAACAATCACCTTTTAATATAGCAAAAGTCTACGCCATAACAGTTTTATAAATCATTTTCAAACAGCGTGAATTCAACTTACGCTATACTCTCTAATTTTCTGTAACGCATATTCGTTTCTCGTTTACCATAACAAAGTACTTCATGTCTGAATTATATTATATCATTAAAGCAGCTAAAGAAGATAATAGACAACCTAGTGTTATAATTAGGCAATCTTTTATAAAAAAATTACATAATATTCCTACACGAAATGTTACTCCCAAACGTAATCCGTTTAACAGGAACTATCCTTTGCGTGTTGTCTACAATAGCTGTAAAGAAACATTTAGTTTTACCCCTGTGTGCGCGCGCGCAGGTTCAGCGTTTCACAACGCGCGTCTATCCCACAATGCGTAGCTCGGTGTACTCGCCCGCGAACACCATTGCCTGTTGCCAAAATACTATCTAAATGTTGAAATCGGTTAGGTTTTGCTACTTTAAAATCTTAACATTGTTGACTCGTCGCCACACTTTGTTTTAATGTGGCTGCACTAATGTTGTTGTTTGATTGAATTAAAAACGACAATTTTGCTACGAACTATTTCTGTTGTAACTTTTTAGCATTGTGTACTAGCAACCAAAAAAAACAACATACTTAAAATATAAAGCATATTTAATCTCAAATATGACATCAACGAAATGAATAAGGACTATATATATCTTGAAACGGTGGATACATAAATGATATTAACAAGAAACACCCAAATTGATTTCAGTATTGTGCATGTAATGGTGTTTGATAGAGGCAGCGAATGGCGTGCGCGGGCGCAGCGCAACCGACCCGCTCAAGCGTTTGAACGCGTGGTCTCATTTCAATGGTCAATGAAATTAGGAAAGCAATCGGGTGTATTGAAAAATGTAAGGTTAATAAGTTCGTACTTCGTAAATTCTAGTTTTTCCAAAACTGTTTTGAATAAAACAACAATATCAAAGTCAAAAGTGAATCGTCTACTCTTATTAAGACAAAATTTTGATTTCAAATAAAATTACGTTTCATTTAAATTTATATATGTATCTATATAACATAAATTGATCAACTATCACTGACAGCTTGATGAACACGAATTCACACGCCAAGAACAGTAATTATGAAATAAAAAATATAAATCACAGAATAAATATTTCAGTTAGAATGATGAATGATTACTTAGTAAATGAATGTTTATTATTATGTACAATGTATAAACGCAGAAACGTAAGTAGATGATAATCTCATGGAAAATATGGAACCTCCCATTTTTTCAATAAATGGTAGAGAGGATTTATTCAAATTATTTTTACAAAGTTCTGGGAGACATAGACAAATTTAGTTAAACAAGTATTAAAAAGACTATACAACCACCATGGTACAATGGGCCACAGTTAGATATTACCTATCGACAACTTACATACTTTATCGTGTGGTCGTATGTACACACAAAACCACGTAAGTAAGCGTTAAACAGCGATATGTATACTCGTTATTATATTAAGTACACTGGAATTACTAAACATTGAAAGCATTGCAGTGTAATACACGCAAATGCTAAATTAAGTAATAATGCTTTAACCTAGACGAGATTGAAAATGTTTCTCTGTCCTAACAATTAAGGTTATTGTACATTTCGTAAGTACGTTTTGAATAAATTGGCGCGTTAGTAATGATGTGATAAAGAAAATTGAGTACATGAGTTTAAGCAGAACGTTGTATAAACCACACACATACACACACAAGCCACATACATCCTTGACGTAGGCAAATTAAATTTTAAACACTTAATCATTTTTTATAGATTACATTCCGTTTATTAAAAATAATCATGTACCTATACTACTAACAATTGAAAACAATAACGGTATTAAAATGGATTTTTAAAATACACGACAAATCCTGCTTGAAGTCAGCCGCTCGACCCAATAACCGAAGGTCCATTACGCAAGACATTAGCCGGTGTTAGCTGAATTTTTTGCTCCCGTCCGCTTCCCGGACGCTTCAGTTCCGCAGTTCGCGTGCGCCCGCGCTTATGCACCTACTTATTTTGTAACGTAACCAGCTGTTAATTATTTTATTTGTGATGATGGCATGTGATGTTGGAAGGTATTTGTATGAAATGGTTTATATTTTTCTTAGTATTATAAAAAGACATGAAAATATAATAAGCATAATGCAGCAAGTAATGAAATATAATGTTAATAATATGGTGATAATGAATATTATTAATGACTTGAGTAATATGAAATGTGTATGTGAGATGCTCATGTCGGAAAAGGCGGATTTGAAAACACTTAAAATAGTTATGTTACGAAGTTGATGATAGTAAGAAGGTCAGGTTTTGAATGAAATTATCGATGAGTTGTGAGCGAATGAATGATGAAAGGCGAATTCAGCACGAATTCACTGATGACATGGTTAAGTTTTTAGGAATTGAAATTAGAGGACTAAATAAATTATTAAACATTCTAAAGTAGAGATTGTTAGCCTCATACGCTTTGTCTTTGTTTCTTTACATATACATAATGTAAGTACCTAATATTACACAATATATTACTAAGTAAATAAGGTGACTATAAATAGGTAATCGGAGTAAAATTCACTTACGCGGAAATATATAAAAAAGATTGTTAATAATTGTTTACCTCGTGCATTGTTTCATCCATGTTATTCTTAAACTAAAGTAATGCATTGATTTTTTTAGAAAGAACAGAACCGAATTTGAACATTTTTGAACGACGCATGCGATTGATTTGGTTGGCAAACTGTATTCAAACTCGGCTCTCAAAATTTGCATTAGAAATTCATCATACGCACTGCGATGCAAAATATCAAAATCTAAAGGCAGACACCGAAACACAAAATAAATCTAACCAGACGGATTATTAAACTAAATATTACGGAATGAACGTCGAAGGATCCATACAACAAATTATAAACATTTATCTACATTAATAAATCTGGAATACTTAAAACTAGTTAACATTGCACTTGTCCTTAGGAGGAGTGTTAAACTAGGGGTTAAAATAATACGTGTCTCTTAACTACGTTAGAAGACAATGTGTACAATAGCCTAAAATGAGATTCCACGCGGTCTGAGGTACGAGTACCGTCCACACACAAGCACACACACAAACTATACTATGAAATGCTTCGATTTGAGCTAGTGGAGTCGAATAGTCTTTGATACTACGCGGCTTGCCTAGTCCCTCCCGATTCTTTTGTGGATCTGCTGGTGTTTGATGAGGTGGGCTTTTTGTCTGAACGCTTTAGCGCACACGTCGCATCTGAAAGGTTTCTCGCCCGTGTGCGTTCTCAGGTGCACCTTTATATTGGACTTGTTCAAGAAACCTCTATTGCAGATTCCGCATCGGTGCACCGGTTTCTCTTTGCCCAACAAACCACTTAACTCGGCGGCCGACGTAGGGAACGCCATACTACCGTGAAGATTAGCTCCGTTATTTGCCTGTTTCGCCTTCGCTCGACTCCGTTTACTCTTATTCGATGGAGTGACCGTCGTGGTGTGTGCGTGAGGGTATCCTAGTAATCTCTCTGGACTGCACAGGCCGTCCTGTTTTAGGCTAAGTGCGTAGTGAGACGCGTACCTGCCGTTCAGAAGGCCTCCCACTCCGTCCGTCGTGGACACAGCATTGCCGGGTGGCGACGACGTCGAAATCACGTCCATCCCATAGCTGGTAGAACTCGGCGCTTCCTGTTTTACCGGAGGGCCATTTTGCAGCCGATTTTGAAGTAGAGGCATATAACCGTGCGTTAACAAAGTTTGTAGCGTAGAACCAGCTTGACCAAGATTCTTTTGAAGAAATTCCTGACTTTTTGAAAACTCTTGACTTTTGCATGAAAATTCCAAATGGTGGCTTGTTTGTGGCGCCGGCGGAGGCGAGTTCGGGAGACCGAATTCTGCTAAGTCCTGTGGAACGATTTTATCTCCCTGTTGACTACAAGCACCTGCGATCCAGGCGTCAATATCCATCCAGCTGTCTCTGGAATCATTTCTTTCCGGGTCCTCAGGTTGCGAAGGTACTGTCGTATCGGCTATTGCCGAGCCTATTATCGCCGCAATGTCTTCTATGGAGCTAATGTCGTAAGTCATGTCCTGTTTGTTACTATCCTCGAACAATTTTGATGGTGGGGAGCAGGACGCGGCGCAAGAGTCAGGCGCCCCAGGTGCATTGGTCTCGGCAAAAGGTTTCGTATCTTCCAGAGCAAATGGTTTTACGTCCTCCAAGTCAGGAGGTTCAGCGTCCGCTGCGCAGGTAGAGGAGGAGACTACATCATGATCAGCACCGTAGCCGCTCTGCGTAGGGTAGTTGTTGTTCTCTTCTGGGAGTCGTTGAGCGATGGCGTGATAGTGGTGCCCAGAGATGCCGTTGATGGAGAGGTGGCCGGTGTAGCCCGTGAAAGGGGGAAGAGGTTTGAGTTCAGCGAGCGGCTGCGGAGCGAGTAGGGAGTCGAGGAGGTCGTGGGTGGAGGTAGCAGGCGGAGGGTCGGGGTCGAGCTTGGGGTCGAGCCAGCAGGCGCCCAGCAGCAGATCGTCCGGCGGCGCGCCACACTTCACGCCGCGCCGCAGCGCCACGCCGCCCACCGACACGCCGCCGCCATACTTGGACGCCGCCACCCTGCCGCGATAGCTGCAACAAAGAAACGCAAACGGTTAATGTGTTATCAGATCACGTGAAAATGCGTTGATGTGATGCGTATACACGAGCATTACGAACGAATAGGCTTCAGAGAGGTGTCCAACATGTATCACAAATGATAACATCTCTCTTTTACGTCGTGATGAATTGTTTTTTATTTGTTTTGATCGTAACATCACCAATTCGTTGACTATCATCAAATTTACTATGTATAAGAACAACAAATTGCCAAATGTTTTATCAATTTTCAGAGGGACCCTTGAAAGGCATGACCCGTGACTTGTTCTGAAACACACAATTAGCTATCGAAGTATGGCATTCGTACGCAATCGACGGCGCTTAATCGTTTCATTTGCGCGCGCGCCGTCGCGCTCCGGCGGGCATCCGTGTCTGCGCCGCGCCGGTCTTATTTTTATAACGCATTATAAAGTTCCGAAACATTGATTGGTGTTTCCGAATATTGGGCATTGCTAATGATTGTTTTGTTTTTCGATTGCTATTGGTTCGTTTATGTTGCTAAGGCACGGTAAATAGGTAGCTAATATTGCCCTTCGCGGTTCGTGGAAGTTGCAATAGGATTTGAAGTTTTTTTGGATCCTATAGATAATCATTTGTAGGTTCTGTACGGATGAATAACAGTAATCGTTAATAGATATGCAGTAATTAAGTAATATGCTAAATAGTTACATTCAGGCAGTGAGTTGCATATATGGGGTGTAACAGTGTTGTTTTAAAGGATCTAGGGATTTATTTAGTCATCAAGGCGAAATATCGCACATGACCACTAACTAAATAGCACTATCTCAAAATGGCACTAATGTATATCAACATTACTTATTTCGTTTCAAAGCGCTGTCGCTGTAACAACACTGTTGTCGTCATGTCACTTTGAAATTAAATCGTATATGAATGACACATCAATATAGCGAAATTTTGGAGATACATTTTTAATACGGCGCAATTTTGAGATAAAATATAATATAACGTAATTTTTGAGATAATACTATGTTAGTTGTCAAGTGCGATATATCTTTTTAACAACTTGTAGGTAATCAAGAACAGAAACTGATTCTGTTTCATTGAGTTCATTGCGAACAGAACCAAAGACTTCATTATAGGTAAATAAAGATGGCAACATTGTTTTTCAAAGTGACATTAGTAACCATCAGTCGGTTATCTCTAATTAACAATCGGCTTATAGTTAAAATTCAGATGAAGTAAAACTACCAAATAAGTTATACTTAACTGCAAAATTTGCATATTCACATAACAAAAGAACAGATACATGTGGTATAATCCTACATCGCAAATGTGTTAAAAACACGGTTATCGCGTGTGCAACTAAGTTAATTATACCGTGTTGAACTTAGTTCACTTGACCGTACGCCTAACGCGATTCTACTTGACACATAATCGGGGCTTACTTTCATTTATAGCAATTTATAATTGTTAATAATGATTTGTAGAATAAGCGTCTATTATTTACTGTACTTGACCAGAAATCTTTCAAAACACATATTTCTTAAATTTAAACTGAAATTTTCCAATATTGATGAGCATACTTTAACAACTATCTATACCAACTTTATTAATTCATGGTTCAATAAACTTAAATACGTTATTTGAACTAATGCAATATTGCAATTGGTGACCTATCACAAACTCGAATTTATTTTTTCCGAAATAACGTTTGTTCGAATTGTCATTATCTCTAAAACCGAATTATAAGGAAACCGTTGTTCTATTAGAATATATTGGATATTTATCGCAAAGACACGATTAGGTTCGGTTAGGATAGGTTAAGTTAGGTTTAAAAGAGAAAACATTTTCCTCTCAAAATTAGTTTCGAGGTTATGAAAATTCGAGCGAATGTTATTTCCAGAAAATGTCATTTCGGAATACAGCAATGCAGTATTTGAATTAAAAGTAAAGTATGGAGTTTCAAATAAATAAATAAATAAATAATAAATATAAAAACTAGATACACCGGTAAAAATAAGTAAATGCTACTTGTCCATTTTGCAACAGCATCATCACTGAGCATTCATGTTGTAAACCATAAGAGACTTAATATTATATGTTGTGACATATAATATTAAGTCTCTTATTATATTAATTTAATAAATAAATTACAACGCCTAAACACGTTGTTATTGCAGCGGCGTGCGCTACAATTAACCGCGATGTGCGCCCGCGCAGTGGCCTGTTCCGGCTAACATGACCATGTTCGATGCTAATTCACGCGATCTTCGCTTATTGATAACATACTTGCATAATTTATTACTGTTAACGTGCAACAATTATTTTCCTTTATTTTTTAGAACAACTCTACGTGGTCAAATTTACGATCACTAGGCTTAGCATGAATTTGATTTTGGAGATGGTGGAGAGAGATGTCAAGTCGAGCGATCCTCAGCAAAAGTTTTTTTTGCCTTTCGAATAATATTCCGAAGGTGGCATTGCACTCGTTCAAATCTTAGAAAGGTTTTTTTATGATACAAGTAACGGGAAAAACAAATCGTGCGCCTGGTGGTAAACGATACAACTATCCGTGGCAGTTGCAGTGCCACTCAAAGGTTTAAATGGCAAAGACCTGGGGGCACTACCACTGCGCTCCTAACTCTTAGACATGGGTTGACAAGTCCCATGTGCCTATAATTTCACTACAGTTTCACACAGTATCCTTACCCTAAAAGTCGGAACGCAGTAATGCCCACATTACTGCTTCATAGCAGAAGCAGGTAAATTCGCAATACATCCATGGCGAACTATTTTACAAGAAACTCTACTGATACTTAAAACTTATATAGATCTAAGTGCCTAACGTCCTAGTTAACCAATAGAGCTTTGGTCTTTTTTAATATTAACTGAAATGTTTTTTCAATTATGTTTTTTTTTTGTTAAAATACGAACGAAGTAAGAATGACGTTTTCTCAATACGGGAACACTATGAATCATGTTAGACTAACTTTGATTACTAATATTATGGTAGGATCACTAATATGATAGATTTGTAAGTAGATAGATTAAATTCCTGATTTAGTGCACATATCACAATAGTAAATATCACATCACAGATACAGATTATGTGTATTAACGTCAAAATAAAGAAACAATATTATTTCATGATACCTGGCGACGAACGAGTCGTGCGCCTGGCGGTAAGCGACAAGCCTGTTCATCACAATTGCAGCGCAGTTCAGGCCACTGCCACTGCGCCCGTCACACTGAGACATAAGGTGACAAGTCCCAAGTGCCTGTGCAATTTCACCAGTACCCTTCAAAACCGGAACGCAGTAATGCTCAGATTAGTACTGCTTGGCGGCAGAAATAGGTAAGGTAATGTTTTTTTACAACGGAACATCTTCTATTTCTTAAAGTATTGAAATATAGATATTATTAATCACTTTTTTATTTGAGAAATTCTACTTTCGTTCTTTGAAACGCCATTTTGGTGCATTATCGAATGTTATGTTTCCTCAAAGAAACTTCTCTGCGCAATATTTGTACGATGAGTAATACAGACGGCATTGGATCCGGTAACATCTCCGGCTCTTCAGTGGACTGCCACTTAACGGTAACAAAGTTGCATACTGCTCAAATACAATTTAGTATTAGAACTTTTTAATTATTTTTAAATTTTAAAAATGATGAATGAAGGGATCAAATTGACGAAAATCCTTTCGTTTTCCTTGCATAAACAATTTCTTTTCATTATACCGAATGTTCATAAAGTTGTTTAGAAGAATATGTATTAGGTTTCTATTATATAATTGGCCAGATATTTTTTATTAATTCTTTCAACGGTCATGAAAAACTTCGCAATTATTCGCTGGAGCCGGACAAAAAAGTCGTGGCAACGCACTTCGTTGGCCAACTGCACGCAAACGCTTGCGAGATCGATTGGGGGGAAAAAATACTATTAAAATATAAATTTGTCTCGGCCGCCAATAGTGACCAATATACGACCTTGAGTGGGTTTTTCGCAAATTTGAGTGTAGATAAAGGCGCAGGTCGACAGCCCGTGATCGCTGGCGCAATCTTGCAGCGAAATAAAAACCCATTGCGAAATGTGACCACTAGCGACTTTCAAACACCTTTTGTGTGTTTTCAATAAATTCAGAAATTACTCCTTTTGTGTGACACGAGAAGCATTTTGTTAATAATAAATGTTGGGTTAATTGTAACTGTTATTCGGTTATTACACCTTGCTGCAGTTGCATTATCTAGTTTCAACAGGTAAATCGTTTGTTTTGTTTACCGTTAGAGTTGGCTAAACTTTTAAAAATATTCCTCGTGAGTTAAACGACAACTACGACAACTAAAAAACACCAATATTTTATGGAAATTTTAATTTATCATTTGGGAATAAGTAATTCAATACAGTTATTAGCTGCATATATATTCAAAAACACAAGCATACTAAAACACGAAATTCTTGCCCGTCAAAGCATAATTTCTAGAGCAAACAAACAACCAAAGTTTCCATCCAGGTCAAGTGTTTTATGAATCCATAATGCCACAGAAAGCAGCATTTGTTTCGGCCTAGAAAAGGCCCAATGCCGAATTGTGGGCCGAACACCGAAATTAGCATGAGTTAGGATTCGGAGAAAGACGCTTATCCGCTCCGGTGGGCCGAGGTGAAAGTTTGTATACTGGTGGGTTATTCAGGCTGTGGTGTGACAAATTAGCAAGTGCTATTCAATGGTTTTGAGAAAAATGCAAGTGATTGATGATTTAATGTAGGTATAGTACAGTACATAAAGACGTGAAATTGTTGACAGAAAAGGAAAACAATGTTACATGCAGTGACACAGACGCGGAAAAAAATAACCAAACTGAACGAAAACATGAAAACAAATTGGCAACTTAAATAAATACAACCTATTACATGGATGACGATGACGACAATGGATTACGATTTTGTTTTATATAATTATAAATAAACTTTAATGCCTTTTTACAGCACAGCAGAATATAAACAGAAATGG